CTATGTCAGGTTTCTCCTGCACCAGCAGCCCTTTCTCTGCAGACAGCAATGGGTCCTGCACCTCCTCGGTGGCTCGGCTGGGTTTTGGCTCTGGGAATGAAGCCGGGACATGAGGCAGCCCCCCCAGCTCAGGCAGGTTTCTGCCGCGAGGTTTCCAACACGGGGCTCGTTCAGGGCTCCCCTGCCCAGGGACGCTGGCGTGGGCTTGTTACACCACTGCCATATCCCCAAAGCCAAAGCACCTACAAAGGTCTCCGAGGGCATGAGCAGTTTGGCCCTGCCATCATTGCACAGCGGGGAAACTGAGGCACAGAGACCAGGGCCACGGGTAGACGGAAAGACTCAACCAGAGTAACTGCTTGCCTTCCTGCGGAGATGGTGTGTGGCTCTGCTGGCTGGCGGAGCTCGTGGCCTCTCTCTGCTAACTTCTGCCTTATTGCATGTAACAACCAGCCCAGGCCTCAGCGGCCGGGAGGAGGTGGCTGTGCCAGGAGCCGCACGCCCACGGCCGGCTGCTGCAACGGCTCCGCTTTGCGCTTGGGGAGCAAGACCCGGGGCAAGGAGTTCGTCATGGCTGGAGCTCGGAGCTGGCCGGAGCCCCTGGACCTCAGTCAAGGGCTATAAAGGGATGTTATTTCTTTGCAAAACATATAACGCAGGGAAATCCCCGGAGCGGGAAGCAGAAAAGCCGGCGCTGCGCAGGCTGGTGAGGGCACCACCACCCCACCATCCCCTCCGGCTGCCGGGAGCACTGTTTTCCTTAGTGATATTTTCTTGCCTTTTGTTTCTCCCGCCGCGGTGCTGCAAACGTGGCATTGCATGGAGGGGGGGAGGCAATTGATGAACCCCAGTTTGGGCTCCAGTGGGATTTGTCTGATTCCTGCAGAACTATTAACCCACCCGCACTTCCAGGGCTGTCGGTGCCCTGCCCCGTGTTACAGCCCGAGCTGCAGGGACCCAGGGCTGGAGCTGCTGGAGCTCAGGGACAGGGGCCGGGAAGGGACCCAGGGAAGGGGACAGCGAGCAGCCCTGGAAGAGCTGAGGGACTTCGGCTGCATTATATGCAGCAGCTAAGGGACTCATTTCCACGGGAGTTGGTGGAATGACGGCAAACCCAGCGTGGGTAGAGCTGGTGGCTCTTTGCTGGGGGTCTGCACTGGATGCCTGGAGAGCGGCTGGGCTGCTCCGGCCCCGCCAGCGCTGCTGGGTTCACCACCAGCTTCCAGGGCTGCAAAGCCCTTCTCAAAGGTAGCAAATGCTTTTGCAACAACGGCCGCTGTTCCTCCAAAGAGGGAGCATTGCGTGGATGGGCTCTTGCCCTTCCAGCAAGGTTTGGCCATCCCTAGGGGATGACCTGCCCATGGGGGAACATCTCTGGGCTCTCCTCCTGCCGGTGCCTGCCCTGGAGCCTCCACCGCACAATGTTTTTTTTTTTTCCTCTGGCATCGCCCGCTTTGAGTATTGCAAGAGTCATTGTGTAACTGTTTTAGTTAAGCCACAGCTCTTGGTGTCATAGGACTACGATATAATCTCAGCTCTACTTACTTATTTATTAGCTGTACGTTATTAACACTAACAGTTGTGAAGGTGATGAAACCTGCTATCCCCATCCCAAAGGTTCAGGGGATGGAAACAAGGAGAACTTGAGATGTTGCCCATGCAACGCTGCTGTGTTTTATGCCCTTACACAGGGGACAGGGGCTTGTATCTCACATCACGAAGTGCTCAGGGGATGTCAAGGTTGCTCCTGAGCCTGTAGGCTCTGGCATATCTCCAGGCGGGGAATGTCACCGGAGCCCCTCCAGTGTCCTGGGTGGAGATGTCTGCGTGGCATCCCCACGGTACCCCTTTGCGCATCCCCCACCATCCCTTCTGCTTCCTCCTGCCCTATGCCAAAATAGCCCAAAATAGGAAACTGAGGAGGCCGCACTGTGAACTGGAAGGGGGAACTTGTCCACTTCAAGAAAAAAAACAAGATGCCAGAGGAGTTTTAAGCCTCACTAGTTCCCCACGGGCAGACCTGAGGACATGCTTCTTGCCACAATGCTGCCACCAGGAAGGAGGAGGAGGACCCTTCAAAGGCAAATTCTCTTTTCAACATATGCAAAGATGCACAGCGACCAAAACAGTTCAGAGCAGGAGAATCTCCCCACTGCTTGCACCCCTCAGACACCAATGCCCGGAGAAAGCCAGCGAGGCTCATGCCGACTCCTGCCTGCTACGACTCCCCATCACGTGGCTTTGCACAGCCACCAGCGGCAGGACAGCTAGGCTCTGAGGTTTAATTACAATTGTTGACAGGGAAATTATGGCCACACACGCAAAATTAGAATATAATTGTGTTACAGAAACGTTTCATCTTCTCCTTGTCATCCCCGAGAGCGGAAGGCAGAGGGGGAGCGGAGAAAGAGGGGTGATGCTGGCAGGAGGTGCTGGCCCTGTGCCTTGTGGTGGGGGAAAGCAGCCAGGCTCAGGGTGCTGCAGGGTGACAGCAGCCCGAGGGACCATCGGGCACCAAGAAAATAGAGGGGAACAAGGCGAATGGCCTCCTTGACAGTGCAGAAGCACACGAGGCAGCTTTCCCCTTCCTTCAGGAGCAGAGGGAGCGCATAGCACAGGCAGGGGGGTTGCGTCTCTGCTGTCCCTTTGGCCCAGGGCTCAGCCCCGTGCTGGTTCCCAAAAGCAGCAGCACGTGATGGCCAGCCCCATCCGTGCCCCGCATGCCTCTGCAGCCCAAGCCCAGGCAGTGATCTCCCCCCGGGGCTGGGGCTCTACCTGGGGAAAACTTTGCCCAGGGCCAGCTGCCTGCAGGGAGGCGGCAGGGCTGGGGGGTGATGCTCAGCCCTCTGCACCGCACACAGGATGTGCCTGGGGCAGCGAATTCCAACCAGCACCTCGATGCCATCCCCGTCCTTGCCAAAGCGGGGTGGGGGCCGTTCTCCCCACTGAGAAGATCCATCCCCGATGACAGGAGATGACTTTGGTCACCAACCCCGTTTAAATACAGGCAACTCTTTCCACTTTTTAAGGAAAAAAAAAAAAAAAAAAAAAGCCAAATGGCCTGAAGGTCCAGATGATAGCAGGCCCAGGACACCGGCTGCAGAAGGAGGATCAGGGAAAAGGAAAATGAAACCAGCCTTGCTGACCGATGGCTTTGAAGCCAACCAGGCAGGGCAGGAGCAGCAGGACTTTGCCAGAGAAAGCAACTGCGCCAGGGCGGGCGGCAGCCCAGCTACCCCTCACTCCCTCCAACAGATGATCCCTCCGTCAGATGCCGGTATGGACTCAACAAGGCGAGGTAACGCAGTGCCAGCACGCATGGCAGCCACCTTCCTGCCTCTGCTTTCACCCCTGCATCAACCCACCGAACCCGGACTTTCTGCTGCAGCCTGACCCGGAGCAGGGAAGCCATCTCAGGCTGAGGAGAGCCCCCGAACCCGGCTCCCTTCTCCCCAGATTGCATTTTACAAAGTCACCGGAGAAGCGAGAGGCCCTCGGGGGGCAAGCAGCACCCTGGGCACCAGGGGAAGATCGGGGGGGGGGGGGGGAGCAGCAGCCTCCGTGGAGCTGGGCAGACATGGGGCACGTTACACAAGGTGCTGGGGGTCATTGTTCGGCACCTTGGATACAACACGCCCCCTGCCCGGCTCCCAGCTGCGAAGTGCAACCGGGCGGGGAAACGGGCGGAAAGCTGTAAAGATCTGGATATAAAATATGGACTTTACATCCCAAGGCCCGCGGCGCTGCTGGGGCCCGGCTGAGGCTGCCGGCGGGCAGCAGCGTGGGCGGCTGGAGGCCTCGCAGTGCTGCGGGGAAACGGGCTGCCCCGTGCCGGGGGACCCGGCATCCCCAGCGCCGCGGAAAGATGCCCCGAAGCACCTCGCGTGGGGCTGCCCCGGGTGGAAGCTACCCCACGGCGGGACCCCGAGGGGGGGTGTCCGGCTGGGAGGCGGCTGCTGCCGGGCGGGACCCCAACCCTAACCCCGACCCCAAACCCAACTGAACCCCCAAACCCAACTGAACCCCCAAACCCGGGGCGGCCCCGCGGCCTGAGCGGCCCTGCCCGCCCGCCTCCGGCTGGGGCCCCGCCGGCGAATGGTGGGCGGCGGGGGGGGGGGGGGGGAAGGGGGGCGGGAAGCTGCGGGAGGCGACGTGAACCAGCGGCCGCCGCCGAGCCCCGCCCCGCCCCCTGCGTTCAGTGGGCGGGGCCCGGAACTAGTCGCGCCCAAGTTGGCCGTGCCGCCTGCCACTCGGAGCGGCGAAGCCCTCCCGTTGGACGGCGCCCGCGGCCTTATCAGTCCATCTCCCGGAGCTCCCGCGTCGTCACGGCCCTTCCGCCCCGCCCCTCGGCGCTGCGTCTGCGCGTCTCCCTCCGCCAGAAAACATAGTTCCACACTCGGGGTGGCGCCCCCCCCGCCTCCTCCCCGCTTGCTGCCGTCGGGGCCCGCCCCGCCGCAACAGCCGCCGCCCCACTTCCCGCCACGGCAGCGCGGGGAAGCAGGGGGGGGGAGTGTGTGTGCGGGGGGGGGGAAGGGGGGGCCAGCGCTCCCCCCCCCCATCACCTGCTGCCTGTGCGGCAGGGCGGAGGGATACGGAGGGAGGGGGGAGGTGCCCCGCCGCGCAGGGGCGGGGCGTGAGGGCGGGGGGTGTGTGTGTGTTGGGGGGGGGGGGTGTGCGGAGGGGGGGGGGGGGGGGTCGGGCCGCCGCGTCTCGCGCCGCTGCCGCCGCCTGGGGGGACCATGCGGAGGCAGCGGGGCCGGCGGGAGCAGCGACAGCAGCGGCGGGAGGCGGAGCGGCGGCGGCGGCGTTAGGACCCGGGGCGGGCGGGGTGTGTGTGTGTGGGGGGGGGGGGGGGGGGCGGGGGCGCGGGGCGGGCCGGGGCGCACGCGCCGCCCGGTGCGGGGCGATCGCGCCGCTTCGCTACATTGTATCCGCCGGCGGCGCGAGAACAATAGGCGCCGCCGCCGCCGCCCGCCGGCCCTGGGCGCCGCCGCCCGCCCGCCCCCGGCCCCGGCCCCGGCCCCGGCCTCGGCCCCGGCCCCGGCCCCGGCCCGCCCGACCTTCATGCGCTTCCCCTCCCCCGCGCACGCACGGGGGGTGCGCGCCTGCCCCGGAACAGGTAAAAAAAAAAAAAAAAAAAATTTATAAATAAAATAAAATAATAAATACGGACGCGCTCCCCCAGCGCTGCGGGTCCTGGTGCAGCGACCCGCGCCCGGAGGTGCTGCGGGACTTGGGGCGCCGGCCCCCCCCCCCCGCCCGGCCGGGGGCTGTCCCGTCCCGGGACGGGGCTCGGCTCTATTGTCCGCGGCGCCGCCGGCTCTCGGTAAAGTTTTGCCGGGGCCGGGGGAGGGGGGGGGGGGGCGGGCGCGCTGGGGGGTCCCGAGGTGCGCGGGGCTGTGTTGAAGGTGGGGGTGCCCACTTTCCCGCCGTGGGGGGGGGGGGGCGGGCGATCCCCGGGTCGTGCTGAGAACTTCAGCCGGTCACCCCCCCTCCTTCACGCCCCGCGGGGGCTCCCTGTCCCCCTTCGCGGGTCGGGGCACAAGGCTGCGGCTCGGGGTGCGTGTGCGTGTGTGTGTGTGTGTGCAAGAGTTGGGGGAACGCGGGGGGGGGGGGGGGGCGGCGTTGCTTCAGCTTCTCCCCCGTGGCGTGGGGTGCAGCCAGCTTCGTCCTCCTCCCGCCCCTCTGCGTTTGGGGGGGGGGGGGGGGGCTGCCCGCTGTGACCCCCCCCACGGCACGGGGGGACCCGGGTGGGGGGCAGCGACCCATTTCGCCCTCCTCCTTACAGCGAAGTGGGGGGGGGGGGGGGGGCGGGCAGCCCGCTCAACCCAGACTTGAGAAGGGGGGAGCGGGGCCCGGGCCGGCCTGTCTGGGCCCACGCGTGTCCCGGCAGCAGCCGGGCGGCACAGGCCGCTCCTGGAGCGGGGGGGGGGGGGGGGGGAGCCGGAGCAGCTCGGGGTGCCCGAGCCTTTGTCCGAGGTGCCGCCACCGGCGGGGGAAACCCGAGTGGGCCGGGGGGAGTGCGGACATCTGCTGCGCGTTAGCCCGGCACCGCCGGGGCCCGGCCGCCCCTTGTTCCTCCCGGGTCAAGTTTTGCTCGGCCTTTGTGCTGCCGGGGCGGGTAAAACCTTTCCCGGGCCAGGGCAGGGCGCTGGCTTCGCGGGGGCTGGTCGGAGTTAAAAATAGGAGTGGAGGTTTGTTGGAAGGGGGGGGGGGGGTGGTTTAGGATATAAAAATAAAAGCCCGGACTGAATTTGGGGTGGTGAGCGCGTATTGTTCAAGTTGCCCGCGATCTTGGCGGCGAGGGCCGCCGGTTGTTTCGGGGGGGGGGGGGGATGTGGGGTTTGGGGGGGGGGGGGGGATGCTGAAGCCATGCATCGGGGGGGGTGTGTGTCCCCCTCCCCTTCCATGGGGCGCGGGGGTTTCGCTGGGGTCTGACAGGGATGAGCTCGGCCCCCCCCCCCTCCCCCCCCCCCCGACCCCACCGCGGCGGTAGATTGCTAAAGTTGCTTTAAAAATACTGACCAGATGCATTGATGACACTTAAAGAAAAGGCTTTTTAAAGAAAAGCAAAAAAAGAAAAAAAAAAAATCCCCTGGCTGTTTTTTATAGTGGTAGAGGGTTTTTACATGCTGGGCTGATTTCAGCGTGTTTTTTTAAAACTTCATTGAAATGTGGTGGCTGAGCCGGCACAGCCTACAAGCGCTTTGGATCGCATGGAGTTTTCTTTTTTTTAACCTTATGATTAATGAGTTAAATTTATTGGCCAGCTGCCCTTTGTAACCATGAATGAGTTCCTAAAAAAAAAAAAAAAATGAGGCCAAAAAAAAAGGAATCTTTTATCTCATCCCAGGCCTCTCTTCCTCCCTCCCAAAGAAATATTTTTCTATCATAGTGAGCTGGCCAAAAAGATCAGTCTCCCTTTAAAAAAATAATCTGTAAAATTAGGAAGAATAATATTTACCTATCTTGCAAGGTTGCCTGGAGGGCTTTATTTTTGCAAAACCCTCCAAAAACAAAATTTTTTTTTCCAGTCCCTTTTGGGAGTGGAGAAATTCAGTTCTCACCGGGTACGACCTGGCTGGGCATCCCCAAATTCAGCCCATGAAAAAGCAGCTGCAGGTGCTCGGCAACCTGAAGGAAAGAGGAGTAGGATCAGTAGGATCAGACTTTTTTTTTTTTTTTCTCTCTTTTTTTTTTTTTTTTTTTTTAAACAAAACTAGGCAAGGACAAGAGAGCCTCCTGCGGGGAGCGAGTGTGGGGGAAGGAGAGGGGGTGAACCGAGCCAGACAAGCGCCTGAGTGATAACTTGCCTGAACCCTTTGATAAATGAGTTGACTCTTTTTTTTTTTTTTTTCCTCCTTTTTTTTTTCCCCCCTTCATTCGCCACACGCCAAGAACAGAATTGGCCCGAACTAGTGGAATTGGCAGCAAAAAACTAACATACAAGTGTGTCTGGTCAATAGAGCGCTTGTTCCTGCCTCTGGGTGCTATGTGAGGACTCCGACTGTGCTCTCAGCGGAGGACTTGGATGCTGGAGACGCGCAAAGGATTTTTCTTTTCTGGCCCCTTTCTCTCTCTCTCTCTCGCTCTGTCTTTTTAAAATATTCATCAATGGGGTGGGTAGTTTGCTCTAGTCATTAAAATATCTCTTTCCCCTCCCCCTCGCTTTCTCTAGGACTGCCACTGTTGAGTCTGTGGGAGTATGAATCAGCAGCAGCAGAGAATGGCTGCAGTTGGGACAGACAAAGAGCTCAGTGACCTGCTGGACTTCAGTATGGTAAGCGAGCGCGGCCGGGGGGCTTTAAAGGCCCCGGGGCTTTGCTTGTGCGCAGTGTTTTGGAGCTGCAGAAGGGAGGAAATGTGAGCCTGTAAATTGGACATGATGGGTTTCAGATGTGCTGTGTTTGTGTGCATGTACATGTGCTGCAACTTGTTTATTTTCAAGTTAAAGCAAAGCCTCTGCCCCTCCTCTCCTCCCCCCCCCGCCTTTCCCCCAAACGTGTACTGTTTCCTTGCATGGAGCACAGAGAGGTGGGCTGAGGTTTTTTTTGGATGGGAAATTCTGGGGAAAAGTAACGGAGTTGTGTGTTCTCTGTTTAAACGCTCACTGTGAAATGGGCCGGGTGACTGTTTGTGAAGCCGCGCAAAGATGTAACTTCAGTAGCTGATTAATCAGGCTTTTTTCCTCTCCCCAGATCCAGACTATTAAACTTTTGCTCCCGCAGGTTATTTTGTCACAATTTGAAATGTGTCCAAGCTCTCCGGCGCATTATTTTTGCAGGAGTTGGACACTTGTGTTCCCCACGCTCTGCTCTTCTGTATCTTGGAAAACTTTAGCTGCGTTTAGGAACTGTTTATTTTCAAAGAAACAGGGCCTAAGAGTTCCCCCAGAAGGGTGTGCACAGCTCGGAGGGAGGAGAAGTCCCTTCTAGTCATAGCGGAGCGAGGATTAGTCCGCGGCGTGTCCGTCTGTGCTGCCGTCCGGGGTCGGCGGTGTGCCACACAACACACGCTGTGCGCTTGCCGCACCGGTGCTGGCTGTTGTTAGCAGGTGACTTGTGGAGAGGAGAGCTTGTGTTCAAAGGCAAATAACTTTCTGCTGGGTTCCTCTGCCGTGTGCTGCACCCTCATGGCACTTGGAGCGTGCGTCTTGCTTTTTAGATAAGCAAACGTGCTGTGAAGATAGAAAAACCAGCTCCATGAGGAGGAATAACAATGAGTGTTGCCGTTGTGGCTCTGGGCTGTCCTGTGTCACCCAGCCCACAGCTTCTGCTGAGCTGATTTTCTTGCCTCTTGGAGAAGAAGGGAGTAAAGAGGGGGAAAAGCGGTGGCAGAACTAGGGGCACCCGCTGTCCTGGTACCTGTTACACCTGTGGGAAGTGCTGAGGCTCAGCTGCTTTTCTGTACCCACACACAGAGGTTTAGCGATGAGAAGTAAACCTTCTTATACAGCTGGGGCTTGTACCTGTCCCAGCAGGGCTCTGTGCTGGAGGGGAGGGCAGTGGTGGGGTCTCTCAGTCCCCCAAAGAGCAATTCTCCTGCTGGAGGAGAGGCCCGTTCTCCCAGTTTCATGCTTGTGTTGGGAGGCTGGTTCCATTAAATTACCAGCGATGTATTTTTACAGTAGTATGTTTTACAGTTGTTAGGGGGACTGCAGCGACGGTATGCTTTTAAAAACAGGAGTATGTTCAGGGCTTGCTGGGGAGTGGAGCGTGGTTATTTGTCCCTCTCGGAGGTCCTGCGGGTTGGTAGGAGCCCTGGAGCTTCCAGTCTCCTGCACTGGAGGGTACCGGGTTTTAAACTGCACTTTGGGTTTGTAACTCATAATGTGCTCCCTGGCTGGGGCTGCAGCAGCTCCTGCTTTGCTTTTTTTCCCCCTTAGAAAAAAATCAAATCCCGCTCACTGTTTAGAGCTTTAAAAAAACGCCAAGACCTTATTTTCAAATTTAACGAACCGTCCTCATTTGCATGCTCAGAGCTGTATTCCCTGGAGGGGTCCTGACCTGTTCCCTCTACATGAATGTTTCTGTCCTTTGAGATTAATCTACACCTGATGGTTGAATTTGGGTTCAATTCCAACACTCTTACGCTGGTGTAAACCTGGGAACGATCAGAACTCGTTCGGTGTTCCTATGAGGCTCATGGGTTCAGCAGTGGCACCGGAGGCGGCTGCTTGAGGATCAGGACCTGCAAATGCCATTTGCCAGCGAATGATTCGAGGACATTCCCTCCAGGATAAGTTGGCCGATGGGCTCCGACGCAGTCTGGATTTGAGCCAGATCTGTTTCACAAACCCTCATCTCTGCACACGCACACCCTTCTCCTGAGTTTGCATAGAGGGAATATTAACATCTCTCCCGGAGGATGAGTAGCTAAAATGGAAAGCTTCCTCCCTACTAGATGGTCTTCACCCTGGCGTTGCAAGCTTGCTGTGCACAGTGTGGGCCTGTTGAAGAGGCTGCTCCATGGGTTGCTCTCTCTGTGTTGTTTGGATGCAGGCTTTTTGACCACAAATCTCGCTCTTTCAAGTATATTTATATTTTTCTTTGAAAAAGCAGGAGCGGAGCATTGGTCTACTATTCCTCTCCAGGAGAGTAGATGGGAGGGAAGACTAGAAAGAGAGATTCAGAGCGGCTGGAAATATTTGCTTCAGATCAGTATTTCAATTCCTTTTTTTCTAGGGAAAATACATTCAATCCCATTAGTCTGTGGTCCAGCTCTGTGCTGTGCTTTGCTGTGCAGTGAGGGATTTTTAAGGTCTGGCCCTAATGGGGTTGCATAGTCGGCTGTGAGTTTGTGGGGTCAGATTTTGTTTGTGTCAGATGCTATAAACTGGGTTTACAGCCCTGAAAAGGAAGACTCGTGCCTTCTTTAATAAATGAATACATTGGGTAGTTATTGAGCTGCAAAGTGCTCGCCCAAAGCTTTGTGCCAATGTAATTTGCCAATAAGGGTGAAAATCAAAGGCATCTGTAACGTGCATCTAAGTGAGCCGGAGCCAAACACCCAGCTCTGTAGGCTGATCGCTGCTTTGGGGTGTGCACGGCAGCGTGCTTATTTCTACCTCTGAAACAAATTGCCTTTTATAATTGCCCCAAAGTACAGGTAATTTGTAAGCTTTCTTTCACCACCGCTCCCTGGCACTAGTCCAGGCCGGGCTCGCAGCTCCGGGAGAGAGCTTTCGAGAAAGCATCCCGCCTATAGATTCGAGTTGCCGGATTAACCTATTTATTCGGCTTGGGTTTTGGTGCCGCGTCCTTTGGCCCGTGGCCGCCAGGCCCTGCGGCTCGGCCCGGCGGGCCCAGGCTGCGAGCGGCGGGAGCGAGACGCTCGCCCGCCGGGACTCGCCGCGGTTTATCCCCGGGCCGCGGCTCGGCCGCGCCGTGTGCCCGGCGTCGGTGGGTTGAGGGAGGAGGGGTGTGGGCGGGTGTCCCGGCCGGGCTGGGGTGCTTGGAGGGCAGGGGCACCCCACGGCGCGGGGGGAGCCGGGACGCAGGGGCGCGAGCGGGCACACGGCCGGGGTTGGGGGGGCCCGTCCGTGCCGCAGAGCGCGCCTGCCGAGCTAGATGGAGGCAGGCGGCTGCGTGCCAGCCTGGGTCTCTGGCAGAAGTGAAACGCTGTTAACAGCCATGATTATTAGCAGAGTATTAACCATATGCTGCGGGGATGCTAGTCGTCAGGGTGGGTTTCTAGCTCGGTGAGACATTGCAGGGCGGGCAGGGGCTTGAGCAGTCGCGTAGGCCCTGCCGTCGGGTTTCTCTGCGGGCGGCTGCTCTCGGTGCCGTGCCAGCCCTCGCGGCTCCAGCCCTCGAGCTGGGGGTGGAAGCCAAACTGCCACCAGCAAGCAGGGCTCGAGCCCCTGCTGCCCTCGCCGCTGCTGATGCCGACGTGCCGGGGGATGCTGAAGCCGTGCCCTGCGCCCTGCTCCGGCCGAGGCGTAGCGCCTGCGTTTCAATGATAAAACTCCGGCTTTTGTTTAGAGCGAAGCAGTTGTAAAGTTTGACTTAATGCCACAGTGGATGTTTGGGGCTGTAGTCGGGAAGGTCTGTCTTAAGTGAACGTATAAAATATCCTGCTGGCAATGTTTATTGAGTCAAATTCCCTCTTCTCCCTGAATTAACAACTGGATGCTTTCCATGCTGCAAAATAGATTTCAGGTTTTGAGTTCAGGGCTGAGGTTGGTTCATCCTGGAGTTCATAAGGTGGAAGACTGGAGAAAGGGAAAACAGCTATTTAATTTGAAAACACTGATGCACTCCTAGAAGTACACAATAAATGAAATGCTGCTTGATATTGTTACTTGTGTCTGGCAAATTCCCTTTCTTGCTTACAAGTTCACCGGTGGAAGTGTGGGGTCACTTAGCTATAACCTCTCCGGTGGTGGGTGCAGGCATTGGGATCTTCCCATGTGCTGGATTTGCATTTTTTTAACCTGGGAGAAGTGGAGGGAGAATAAATTCTTTGGGAGGGGTGGAAATCGAGCTACAAGAGCGTGCAGAAGTTGTCTGCTGTGGGAGAGGCAGGAGATAGGACTTGAGAAACCAAATACAGCAACTTAAGATGGGGGATTTTACATAACCGTTTAAATCTACATTATTCAAATCCAACAAAGGCCAAGTAATGACCCAATTACAGTTCCTCAGATGCTCATGCCAGGGTCCCTCCTCGATGCCTGGCTCCCTCCAGTATGTGCCAGCTCTGGTTTGATTTCTCCCTCCCCCCATTTATTTTTAAAGCAGCATTTAAAAGCAGAAAGGAAATTTGCAGTGGGTGGGTGAACTTTGCCTGTGAGTGACACAGGCCAGCGCAGGCAGCCGGCACTTCACATATGACTTGCGCCGGGCTCCTCGAGGCAGCGTCCCCGGTCGGCTTCAGCCCACACCACAGTGGAAAAACGAGCTGGCAGCAAGAAAAGAAAAAAAAAAAACAAACCCAAACCCAAAACACTTCCTGGAGTTGGCAAGTGATAAGTGTGTTTGGAGCCTGTACTGAGGCGAGGGGCAACCTGGGGGTCCCCCCTCTCCAGCAGCAACCTGCTTTAGCATCCCCACTTGCCTTGGCGTGGGAAGGGGTCCAAGACTCCTTAATCCCTTGGGGAGGGAGAGCAGGAAGGGGGTTGCATCAGTCTTGAAATATCTCTGGAAGCAGGCGGAGGCGGGTGATGGGGAGAGGTGGGGAGGGCATCCCCCAGCGGGGCTGGGTGCGGGGGCGTGCTGGGGATTGCCGTGGTGGCGGGACACACACACACACACACACACACACACACACGCGCCACCTCTTGCAGGAGTAGAAAGTGCTCATTGCACAATGGAACAAGGCTGTTCATTTTCTCCACTCGTGTTTGCTGCTCAAACCTTGGGGGTTTCAGCATCAGCGAGTATTAAGCAGAAATGCTTGTGAAAAAGAGCCAGCATTGCTTTTTTTTTTTTTTTTTTTTTTTTTTTTTGTTGCCTTTTTTTTTTTTTTTTTTCCTGTACTATTATGTTCATGCATCCCATCTTCCCCCCCCGCCCTACTTGCACACAGAACTGCCTCTTGCCACTCAGGGAGGGGGTTTCTAACCACTTCACTTAATCTTCTTCCCTACCTTAATAGGAGGAGGGAGTGAGCACAGACCGGGTGGGATCAGCTACGTAAATTCCATTTTTAGTAATTTTGGCCATCTTTGCAGAAAACAACACTGGCCTGCAAGGCGGGGGGGGACGGGGACGGGAGAAACCTGTAGCGTTGCAGAGGAAGGTAGGCTGCAAGCCTTTGGTGTCGTCAAGGTTTGTTTTTGTTTCCTAGCCTGACTTCCTGAGGAAACACAGCATATTGGGTGGCGGGGCCGCCAGCCCACCCCAAGGGACTCGGGAGCCCACCCGGGGTGGGCAGCAGCCTCCCCGGGGGGGTTGCAGCAGGAGCCCCCCCAGCGGCGCTGGCTGCGGGGGGAGCGGGGCGAGGGCCGGGGGCGAAGCTGGAGGAGGGCAGGTGTCTGCAGGCTGGCTGCTGGCAGGAGCGGTCGTCCGCACGCACGCTGCATGCTTAAGCACTGTTTACACCTTTATTTAAATACATATATATAAAGTATACATGATGTGCGTGTGCGCATACATATATACGATCCCAAATTTGTGTTCTTTTTTTGAATGGCAGTTGGTTTCTTAACTGCTCTCTTTGCATCTCTACCACATTTAACTGTTGTGTTTTTTTGTTGTTCTTTTTTTTTTTTTTTTTTTTCCTCCCCAGTATTTGTGAAAACAAAGCTGGGCAGGCGGTTTTGTACAAAGGAATGTTTCTGACCACAGCCAGACATCAGCTATGTCAGGGCATGAAATGCTGCATTTCTGTAGGCTCTTGTGCCATTACATTGTTTAATCTTCAAAGCATTAAACTTTTGAGTTACTCAGACATTGCAAAGCTAAAAATAATAAAAATTCAAATGACTTGGTGGTGAAAGTATCTTGAGTTGAGTAGTAAAAGGATATTAAAATGTTAATTCACTAACCATTTTCTCACCAGTTATTTTATTGGCTGGAGCTCCATTTGTGTGGAGAAGAATTAGTTTTCTGCTGCACGCAGGTGCATATAAATTTTTAAATAACAGCTTCTGAAACCTTCCCAACTTATATTAAAAATATTTATACAGGTTAGCTGACGAGCTATGCAGTATTTTGAGGAAGCTCCCTGGCAGGAGAAGATTAGTTGTGATACTGAAGCTGCAGCAGTATAACAAACAAGTAGCCAGAGTGACCGATACTGTAAAATATGTTAATCTTTCTAATCGCGAGTTAAATGCTTTTGCCCTTGGCGCAGCTTCTCCCACCGGACCCCGGGGCTGCGATAGCCCCCGAAGCACGGGGGGGGGGGGGGTGGGGGGGTGGGAGCTGCTCCGTGGGGCTGGAGGGTTCTGCCCTCTGAGAGCTGGCGCGAGGCTCCCTGCGTGTGGGTCTGGCATTTCGGGCGGTGCCAGCTGCAGCCCCCGGGCAGCCCCAGTCCTCCCCCAGCCCGAGAGATGCAGGAGGAGCCCTGGACCACTGTGGGCGCCGGGGTGTCGAGGGGTAAAACCAGCTTTGCTGGGGGCTGTCGTTTCCCTGCTGGCCTTTTTATGAATGGAGTCAGCCTTTCTTCGTGGGCACCCTGTAGTCTGGGCCTTGGTGAATAAGTTAGGGAAGAAACTGTTGGTTTTGACCACAGCGATGATGCTTTTTGGATGGTTTTCAGTTGCACCTAAGGAACCAGACACGCTGTGTACACAGGAGAAGTTTACGCACGTAGGAATGTGTGTGTATATTAGTGCACAGCTGCGCTGCTCTCCTGTCCCTCCTGCAGCTGATCTATGTAGCAGGGACACGAGGAGAGGAAAGTTTTTTGCATCAATAAAGTGCTTCTCTTCCCCCTTTCCTCCCCCCCGCCTGCCCAATCTGACCCCCTTTGCAGCAGCACAGTAAAACTAACATACTGAAATTGCTTTTCTCTTCCCTTCTCTCTCATCTTCTTGTTTTTCTAGATGTTTCCCCTGCCAGTGGCTAATGGAAAAAACAGACCCACGACCCTAGCAAGCACTCAGTTTGGAGGATCAGGTACTGTCATCTTAATTTTTTTTTTTTGCTTAACACTGTAATGTTTCTTGCAATGAATTTGTGTTTGCTTCCAGAGACCCCAAAGGAGGCGTTTCTGTCGTTTTGTGTTATGCATTTTTCTGGTGGTGGTCTGCTACTCTTCCTCTCGGTGATTTTCTTGTTGCTCCATGTGTCTCTGGGTAGGCAAAGCTGTTCTTGCCAATCTGTCTCCAATTAAAAAGTCACTACCTGAGCTGAAGGTTGTTGTCTAGCAGCTCTGATTGAAGCAACCTGAGAGCAGACAGTCAATGCTGTTCTCTTAAGCTGCGTAGATGAACGCGTGTCTGCAGACGTGTGCCCTGGAAGATTTTTGCTGTACGTCACCGAGGAGACACACTGGTGGTGGTGAATTCCTGGGGCTCAGCTGCCCAAAGGGAGGCTCTGGTGCAGTTGGGCTGTCTGCTCCATTCAGCCCCTCCATTCAGCTGGGGGGGGATCTTGGCGTTCCCAAAGGGACCTCTGCGAAGCCCTCCTGGCCAGATGCCTCCCGGCAGCGCGGCTGCCCCGAGGAGGCAGGCAGCAAGAGCGGCTGGAGCTGTTTCACCAGCCTCCAACCTGGACTCCGCTGCGGTTTTAGGGTGCTGTCTGGCCTTGCTGCGGTGCCCCCAAATCCAGCAGCCGGCCCCACTCCCCAGAAGCGCTGAGCGGCCGCATCTCTGCCGGGCCGGGATGCTGAGGGAAGGGCCGGGGGTGCCGACATCAAAGGGCTTGGGGAGCGGGGCGTCCGCCGGGAGGAGCAGGCTGGCGATCCGGCTGCGATAGGAGACTCTCTGCAGGGTATGGAGCTTTAGATGTCTGATTGGGAAACGTGTGGTGCTGGTTAATTTGAGGCTGAAGTGGAGAATTCCTCGGCCGGGCAGACGGCGCGGTGCCGTGCCAGGCTTTTGATGCCGGGGAAGCCGCCGCTCTGCGCCGGGCTCGCTGCGGTCCCTGGCACGCAGGAAGTTCAGTTAATTTGCCCTTCTTGCTGAAACACGCTGGTGCTTTGTGGATGGTGAAAACTTGACCTTCTCTACCCTAGGCCGACTCGAGCTGTCCAGGGGAACTCCTGGCCACACGGAATGGCCGTGCGCTGACACCGGGAGGCATCCCGGAGACCGGGGTGAGATTTCTGGGTAGCAGCTTTGATGCCACGGCATGCTGGGGGACAGCTCTTGGGGACACCTGCAGAAGCAGGACAGGAGGGGTGTGCTGTGCCCTGCCCTGCTCCCGCACTTTTGGGGCTGGGAAGCTTGATGTTTTCAGATTGGGCTGTTTAGCTGCATGTCACGAAGGTTTTGAGCAAACATTTTTACGGGGAGGGAAGCTGTTGAGTGGGTGCTGGAGGAAATTTGAGGGGCGAAAACTCTCGGTTTATCCCAGATGGAAGCTGATGTCTCCAGCGAGTGTTCCTGTGTGCGACTTCTGCTATTAAAATAATCCACAAAAGACGCGCTACATGCTAGTGAGAGGACAGTAATGGAGCAGCTCGCATTAATTCGATTCCTGCTCAGAGGCTGGTTTGGCTGCCGGGTTTATAGAGCTGGCCAGAGAGGAGAGGCTGCGAGCAGCTCTGCGGTACAGCCGGCACAGTGACCGGACCCCCCTCCACTTGGCTGGGCAGCAGCCGAAACAACACAGAATCTTTTCTTCTCCCCCCTCTTCTTTTCTTTCGGGGTGAATGGAAGGTAATGTTGACACCACCCTTCCTCTGGGCTGCTGCTTTTTGAGTCTGGCTGTGAGCAGTTCATAAAAACAGAGGACTGATGTTATACAACTGCGCTGAAGGCAGTTGCACAATTGCTGCTGTCCCGGTCTCAGGGCTCTGTGGCGGCTCTTTTGTCCTGCCGTGGGCATCCTGGGTTTGAAATGCAGCTTGGGGCTTGCTTTAGGGGAAGGCTTTTGCTCCAGCAGTGCAGTTATCCCTTGGCCAGCCATCCTTGGGCCTCACCTTTGGAGAGTGGGGGATATGTTTGGTTTTGTGCGTTGGCTTTGTGACTTCTCTCTGGTCCTGAATGTTTTGACAATTGATTTTTGCTAGTGGGGTGAATAACTGCAGTAAGACGTTAACAACATGCACCACTCACAGGGCTGCACTGTGTCTGTTAGAAGGATCCAAGGTGGCTAAACTAGGTCCTAGATAGTGGCGAGTGGTTTTCATAGTTTGTTGGTTTAGCTTAATTCACTAATTGACGGGAAAGTACAATCATCCCCAAAGGCATAGCCAGCCACCCGGCCCAAAATTTGAAGGTGAATCATCACCAACACTGATGTGGTCAGAAGGTGAGGAGCAGATGGTCCTTGGATTTGGGGGACCTGGGCTTGCTGAGGGAGCAGAGCACCTTGCAGCCTTGTTGTAATCTGGACCTGGAGATTAGCTCCCTAAATCTTCTTGCCTTGCAGGAACGCCTAGGCTCCATCTTTAATGAGCCTCCTGTTTTTCAAACACTCCTGTTCACTCAGAATCCTGTACCCCCTGATAAAGGTAGCACAGCATTTCCCCTCTGCTGCTGTCCCTCTGCCTGGAAAGGAGAAACAAACGCTGATTTGCTTAAGTCTGAGCCTGGTAGTGTGCACCGTAGTGCCAGTATCTCATTACTTGGGGTTACTGTAGTCGTCTTATGTGCCAAAGAAATTGGTATTTCATGCTTCTGCCCATCCTTGGACGTGTGAATTCGTGGCCTCCCACTTTCATCTCTTTCCTCCTCGAGGAAGTCCTGGGGCAGTATATAGCTTTTATTCTCTTCCCCTTGGGAGTAGCTATTAACTCAAGGCCCTTTCCTCCCCAGGGGAAGTTAGGAGTGAAGGGAGCGAGGCAGTGAGTGACTCCGATGACTCTTGGCCAAAATACCCCACTTGCCAAGAAGGGGTTCTTGCTTTCAAAGTCCAGCTGGTAAATAAGGTAGCGCAGCCATTTGAAACGGTGCTACTGCCAGAAAATCAGAGTGATAAAACTGCCCCAAATTCAAATCCTTTTCAGTTCCTAATTAATAATTGCCCTGGCCAAGCTGCTGGCACTCATGCGGGTGGCCCCTTTGTGAAGGGGAACCCGTTTCTCTCTCCCAGGCCAGGAAAATTCAAAGTGTTAATGCAAGCCCTCCAGCTCTGAGATCCATTTGCTTTTATATTGTCTCCTGGTTTTATTTTAAGCTCTGCCACTGTTTCCCTCATTTCTGTCCTTAAATGCACCAGGGAGGAACTGGTTTAGCTACCCCACCGCATGGACAATTCAGCACCTCCGCTTTGCATTTTCTTGGCAAGGCGAAACCCAACGATTGCCACTAGGATGGAGCTTGCGTCACGCAGGCTGTGTCTGCAGCATTTATAGCACATATAGGTCACCGCGGGGAAGTTGGTCTTCCTGGGGCTTTGAGCTGCAACTAGTGTTTTCCAGCGTAAGCCGTGTCATTTGCTGCTGGTGTTTATTTAGCCAGGACACTGAGTGTATGTCTATTGTCCTGGTCCTAGAAGGCTGTGGTTTCATCGTCCCCTGGCCAAACTGTTGTTTATTCTTTGTAGTAGCAAAACATTTAAAACAGTGTCCTCTACCCGCCCCCCCCATGTCATAGTTCATAAATGACTAATCTGATCAGAAATGAGCTCCCTCCCAGCGCGCTTAATAAACTGTGCCTCTAGCAGGAAACCGCTCGCGCGCTAAATTTCACATGGAAATAACCATTTTAAATTGACATGAAGGCAGTAGGAGTGGCAGGAGGCGAAGAAGTTTCATTGCCTCTTCCCAGCCCGGGGTTGTGGCGTTGCCACCGCGGCGTGGGGCCGGGCCGGGGCTGTCGCCTCGTGGCTGCTGAGTTTTCGGCAGGGTCAGCGCGTGCCAGCCGCGCCTCTGCTTCAGCAAGCGCGTCGTGGCTCTGCAGAGCGGGGAGATAAAACCAAGGCAGGTGGTTGTGCGCAGTGACGCGTCTCCCAGCGCAGCTCACGAGCAGCGCTGCGGGTACGGGGAGCGTGAACCATCTCCCCTTTGCATCAGAAATGGTGCCCGATGCCAGGTTTGTGTCCTGTTGAAACAAGAGCCCAGGTGGTCTCTTGCTGACAGATGATTTCACTCACAACGAAGAGAGCTCTGCGGGGAAAAAAAAAAAAAGCTTCCCCCCCCCCCCCCCCCCCCCCCCCCCCCCCACCCCCCCCCCCCCCCCCCCCCCCCCCCCCCCCCCCCCCCCCCCCCCCCCCCCCCCCCCCCCCCCCCCCCTTCGAGTAAGTGAACTCACCATTAAACGTCTTTCCTTCTTGCTTTGTGCTGAAGGGAGCTCCCTTGCTTGGGATCCCTTAGGTGGGTTTGGAAGGGAGAGTCCCCTCCTGCTCTGTGCTGTGATTTCCACCCCCAAAATTTGTTCAGTGCTGCTTTGCTGGTGAGATGGTGAGATGAGTCTCATTGTTGAGGGAATTGCTTTGATCGGGGCAAGTTCATAATAGACATTTGAAGCCGGCTAACCGGGGAGTTTTTCAAAGAGTTACAAGCTGGTGCATGTAACAAATTTTAAGTTATAGTCTAGTGAACAAAGTAAATTCATTCTCCCTGGAGGTAGGTGAGTCTGTATCCCCTTTGAAAGCCTGCTTTAAACACCGTTCAAACTTGGATACCTGTGGCAACAGCGCTGAAAGTAATAAATTCTATGAAAGATGAGGTTGTCTCTTTAATTGGTGCTACGGGTGAGCTGTTTGAAGATTTAATTATTTTGTGTGTGCACGCAGCCCTGTCCTGGGAAGCTGGGAGGTGGGGAGGGTCTGTGCACCGGCGGGGAGCGCGGGGCCTGCCCCGGCAGCGGCCGGCTCGGCCCTCCCCACTAAAAGCCTCCAAGTTTGAGAGTGGCGGGAGCTCAGCGCGGCGTTTCTGTTGCCGCGCTGTCAGCAATTGAGTTTCAGGCTGCAGAAACGCGTTTGCAGCTATTTACCCCAGTGAGGAAAGCAGGAGCTTTTATTAGTAAGGATGTATCACGTTTTCCTACTAGCTGCCTCTAGTTCCC